TAACAGTGATTACTCTAGTTATCTAAATTAAAGAAAGCAATCGACAATCGTGACCGTTCCCATATTCCTACAACTTTAAGTTATCGTATTACCTATTTAATTATGAAAAAGAAAGTATCGTTAAATGAAGCACTTAATCAAGTTCACTTAATGTATACTTGGAGCTTCGCTTCCAAATAGGCAAGAATTAGTGATTGGGAATCAAATATTCTTAACAATTACGATTTTCACGACAAATTACAAACATTGAGAAAATTATAGCTCCTATTTTAGAAATAGTTCATAGAAATAAAGTATATCAAAGTCTAAATAAAACTCATAAATAAATATGTAGTTTTAATTAAATTTTTAAAAATCCCATTAAACTCATAGTGCGCATCCGCCATAATTTAAAGTAATTATTAGGTAAAACGATTATATAAATATGGAAATGGTGTTATCATTTTCATCAGTTTTAATGCAAAGAAATGTTGAAATAAAAAAAAATGTAATTTGCAAATTCCTTATAGACTCTATTGAATGTGTAATATAGAAAGGAATGATCACTTTTATGGGTTTTTATGGCATAAATCATTCAAATGGTCAATAAATATGCTATTGAAATAGCGGGTGGAAATTGGAAATAACGGTGAAAATGCAACCCTTAGAATTTTTTTAATTATATCTTGGAAACAAAGTAAAATTTAGGTATAGTTAATACGAAATTTTTTGTAAATGCGATTTCACATCGAATTATTTATTTAAATTTTTTTATGTAAAAAAAAGGTAAAAAAACACAAAATCGGAACTTATTAAATTGTTTATTTTAATTTAGGAATATTGGTAACATATTTATTATTAAATGATTTACTCGGATTACTGGCAAAGATCATATGGCATAATATGCAACTTTAGTATTAAAATTTAAATTTTAAAAAGCAAGGAAAAATATATAAATTTTTAAAATATTTCACATCTAAAAACTTTAACGAAATCTGCAGCATACAATATAATCAAACGATTAGTGTAAGAACAATGAATACCAAATAACTTAGTGATAATAAATGTTTGTAGTATTTCTTATTCAATTGACTGCTAGTTGCACATGTGTGAAATATTTTACAAAATTTTATGCTGTTTACCCTTACTTCAAAAATTCAAACTTGTTTAATCCCATTTATAGTTAAACAAATTGATGAAATTTAAGATGTTACTAGTTATTGGAAACGTATAAGGTAACTGCAGGTAATATGGCCATGTAGACCAATATGGCCATGCCTTTCATTTCCTACTAGAAATTTATTTACAGCGATCTGCAACACCAAATGCTTAACTTAGTCTAAAAAGTACCCGAGGAAATAGATAGATGTCGCTAGATGGCCTGCAATATATTCATTGGCGCCATAAGCGTATTTGGTGGTAAGAGTGTCAACAGGTTATTAACACAGTTAGAGTAAAAATCATAATTTATTTGCTTAATCTGGTAAGTTTTTGGTTTCTCTCTTATGTTGTACTTATGTAAGAAGTGTGGGAAAGAGGATAGGCATGTTAGTTTTTCGTTTATTTATCTTTTTAAAGTTAATATTTTGGTAAACATTTGTGGATGTCATTGTATAGCAATATGGCCAGGGGGAAAGTAGAGCAATATAGCCATGGCCATATACCTCTACACGTGGTAATATTAATGAATCAAGACACTGAATCAAAGTATTTTGCAGGTATAAAAAAATGCCACGTTACCAGTGTAAAGGATTGCGTAGTACATGGGCTACAGAGAATTTGTCTGCGGCATTAACGGCGGTAGGGGACGGTATGGCAGTTAAGAGAGCAAGTGATACATACAAAATACCACGAAGAACACTTAGACGGTATTTAGAAGAAGGAAAGAAAGATAAATCAGCTTTAGGACGAAAGACAATACTTACAAAAATACAAGAAGAAGAATTGGTTCAACGAATTATTCGGCTTTCAGAAATTGGATACCCATTAACCGCAAGAGTTCTTCGCAGATGCGTTTACCGATTTACTCAAGCTAATAATATCCCAAATCCTTTTCAGAATGCCAAAGAAATGGCTGGTCGTTACTGGCTTCGTGGATTTATGAAACGCAATCCCCAAGTTAGACCTAGGCGAGCACAAAACTTAAATCAAGCTAGAGCCCAAAAAATGAATAAGTTCATTGTAGAAGATCATTTCACAAAGCTAGGCAATACTTTGAGAGAAATGAACATTTTTAACCAGCCTGAACGGATCTACAATATTGATGAGAAAGGCTGTAGATTAAGCCTTCACCACCAACAAAGAGTTCTGGCGAAAAAAGGGGCAAGAAGGGTGCATATTGTGGCCAATGAGCATGGAGAGAATGTAACAATTGTTTCGTGTGGTAATGCTCTTGGTTCATCAATACCTCCTATGGTGCTTTTCAAAGGAAAACGTCTGAAGCCAGAATGGGTTGACTCCCTACCTCCAGGGGCAGTTGTGAATATGACAACAAAAGGGAGTATGAACATCGAAACTTTTTGTGCTTGGATTCATCATTTTGCAAAATTCAAGGTTCCCGGACCTTGTCTAATTATATTTGATGGAACAAAAAGTCATTTAGACCACAGGATAGTCGAGACTGCGGATCAATACGAGATTACCTTGTACTGTCTTCCCAGTAACACCACACACGAACTTCAGCCGATGGACAAGGCAGTATTCCGAGCATTTGAATATTACTGGGACGACGAAGTTATGAAGTATTTTTCTAATCACCAGGATCGTGTTATTACCAAACAACGCTTTGGCGCAATCTTTTCTACAGTCTGGGATAAAACCATGACTCCTGCTAATATCAAATCTGGTTTCTCGTCCACAGGAATTTATCCTTTTAACCCAGATGCAATTCCGGATATAGCATTTGCCCCCAGTACCGTCACGAATCAACTACCACAAACACAAAAGGTCGTAAAACCACCAGAATCGCATAGCGGAGCTTCCACTATGGGAGATAATAGTTTCCCTTCAACATCGGGAACTAAACAAAAAAAACCCCTCCGACCTACTATCCCTTCCCCGGATACTAGTGACTCTGAATCTTCTTTTAGTCTCCACGATTTCAGTACGGATGAAGATTCTGAATCTATAAACATGGAAAATGACTCCTACGAAACCTGTAACGTCTCATTTACCGACATGCTTAATACTCCGGAAGAAGCAGTAATAAAGGCCAAAAAACCCCGAAACCCCGCAATTAACAGCAGGGCGCAAGTAGTCACGCGAGATTTATTTACTAGCACTTTAAAATCAATCGACGATACAGTAAGCACTAGTAAAAAAAGTGTTACCAAAAAAACAATTTCTTGTTCTAAAGGAAATACGGGGTCCGCTACGAATAAGGAGTCTAAAAATAAAACAGAATCCTGGTACTGTAAATTATGCTGTGAAGACAGGGTAGCTAATATGCGTTTATGCACTGCCTGTAAAGAATATGTCCATGAAGAGTGCATGGGACTTACCGCAAAAGACAAGATAGAAGTTTTTCTTTGTCCAAATTGTGATGGAAAATAAAAATACTCGTCGGTGTTTTCATATTTTGTATTTAAAACTATGCTTATGAGTTTAAGTTTTCCTTTTGAGTAATAATTATTTTTTTATGAGAGTAAAATTTTTAGATTTAAGTATGTGGCCATATTACCGACCCTGGGTTGACAATATGGCCAATTGTAACGTATTTTTAAAATAGCCATAAAATTTAAATTTTTAAGAATTTACCTATTTTTTAAATAAAAACCTGTGCTTAAGACTTTAGTTTATTTAATGTATTATCCGGAATATGATATATTTTCATCATCTGCAATTTGGAAGGATAATTCCTTAGGATGGCCATATTACCTGCAGTTACCTTATTATGAAGAAATTTAAGATTTTTTGTTTATTTACTTTAGTGATATATCGATTTTAAAAATCATCAATTTGAGCCCTATCACAAAACTTGAAATGTTTGCCTAGAATCTAGGTAGGTATGCTGGAAAAAAAATTTTCTTGTAGGCCTGTGTTATTAATCGCTTTTAGAGTGACTAAGCAATTCTAGAATACTCCTACTGCTGTCACTGCTGCAATCATCATCTGAAGTAGATTCATCAGACGATCCTGTATTTACAGTAAACACAAGAGAATGTACAACATTATCCAGAATGTTCTTTCTTAATCCATTCAGATTCGCATTTCTTTACATTTTCGCAAATAAAACACCATTCTTGATCGGAAACTTCAGAAAATTTCTTCCTGACTAATTTCTCCGTATCATCCAGTTTAAATGAGGTATTGTGCACTACCACCCAGTTCTTAACCAATGCCCAGATTTTTTCTATTGGGTTGAGTTCTGGATGATAAAGTGGTAACCGTAAGACTAGTAAGTTTAGTTTCTATTCAATTAAATAATAATATAAAAGATAATTCTGATTATATGCAAAACCAAAGTAATTATTTATCACTTCTAAACGATATAATAACTGAAACCATAAATATGGAGCAAAATTTACAAAAATCAATAATTTTAGATTCTAAAAAAATAAATACTATTATAAAAGAACATTCAGATCGTTTATCATTGCAGGATGAGAGAATTAGAGATTTATCAAAAGATTTATTTGCAATAAAAAATTGTACAATGCCTAAAAACTTTAATCCGCAGCATGACCTCAAAGGAGAGAAAACAAGTAGTTAACGAAATACATGCCCCGGCACGTAAAAATTATCCTAGAAGACGTACAATTATTAAAGGTCTTTTTGATCTCTGGCAAATGGATCTTGCTGAAATGAGATAATACAGTCAGCAAAATAAGGGCTATAAAATGATATTAGTCTGTATCGATTGTTTCTCAAAGTTTTTATGGACCCGTCCTCTTAAGTCTAAAACAGGCGATGAAATTACAAAGAGATTCGACTTAATATAAAAAATATATGAAAACCATAATCAAATTTCTACATTATTCCATTTTTAATAATTAATTTTTAATCTAATTATCATTATAATCATGTCGAGCCAAGAAATATTTAACTTTAACCAGTTTGATGTATCGTCTGATTCCCAGTATAGTTTATCGTCAGACTTTCCGCCATCACCGTCCCCAAAAGACATGAGTGAGGTGAATACTGATGGTGAAGATGTAGTTCCAACAACAGCAACAACCACTCAAGAAGACAACGATGAGGAGAAGCTGCAATATTTGTTGAGCACCGTTATTCCGGCAGGGGCATTTTCGATTGATTGTGGCCTTAATCCTAAGCAATTTTTTAATGCCGCTGTCGGATTGACAGAAGGTAACCATACAATTAATTTCAATTATTATACATGGCTCTCTTTCATTGAGATACTCGAGAAGAGAATACTTAAATTCTTCGATGAACCATTTATATCGAATCCATCTACATTATACTGCGAATGCTCATGCCGCATTACACCCCTAATATATGGTGAAGTAAGAAAAATTAAGCTACATCAGAAGGGGACAACATTCAATTTATCGGAAGTGGACGTGATGACAATATTGGACGTCAATATGAACATAGTATCACCTATGTGTATTATGCTAAATAATTTAAATTTTTTACAATATTTTGAAAATTTAATGGAAATTATTCAAAAATTTTTCAGAGATAAAAATGAGTTAAGTTTTTTAAATGTATTTAATCTCATAGTTTTTGTGATAGTAGTAATAATTTATTAGGTAATATTTTAAGAGAGTACATTTTTTATTTTAAGAATGATATAATTATAATTTTAAATAACGCCCATAATAAATTAAGGTACACCCAATTGTAAATACATTTATTTTTTTAATAAATTAATATTTAAAAATTTTTTTTGTTTTATTTTTATTTTTCAGGAATAATGGTAAATTTTTAATAATAGTATATTATTAAACGAGTAATTTATGATAGCCATTATTCACGTATAAATAATTCGATGTGAAATCGCATTTACAAAAAATTTCGTATTAACTATACCTGAATTTTGCTTTGTTTCCAAGATATAATTAAAAAAATTCTAAGGGTTGCATTTTCACCGTTATTTCCAATTTCCACCCGCTATTTCAATAGCATATTTATTGACCATTTGAATGATTTATGCCATAAAAACCCATAAAAGTGATCATTCCTTTCTATATTACACATTCAATAGAGTCTATAAGGAATTTGCAAATTTCATTTTTTTTTTATTTCAACATTTCTTTGCATTAAAACTGATGAAAATGATAACACCATTTCCATATTTATATAATCGTTTTAAACATTATAAAGAAAATATTTACTACCTATACATACAAGAATTATAAACCAAAATTTTAATCAAATATGTACCTCATTACATGCAACAACTTTTGTCAAATACACTTTTTATTTCAAAACCTTCTTTGTTCACTAGATAGCGTATTGTTTTGTGTTTTTGTTACCTGCCACGGCAGTATAAGAATATTTTTTAAGTTATTCGCTTCTTAGCGTTAGAAGTTCGAACATAACTTTAAAATATCGTGTGAACATCTCTTGGTTAAGTAAATAATTATAATAATAAAAACAATATTTTTTTCTATAGAAGATGCTGATAAGAGAAATAATGGATTTAAGTAAATGTGTCAGCAAAAAAGGCCACCGCTACAACAAGCAATGGATTATTTGGTGCATGCTTCTGCGAATCAGAAGTCAATCAGTCTATAATTTTATTCGCAATAATGACATTTGACAGTGCCTCCATTTAACACAATTTCCAGGTATTTACGGTCTGTAGATATCTCTTGGGGTTTCAGTAAAAAATTGCTCATCAGTATCCAAAAGAAATTAAATACTTTGCCGTGGAGTTTTGCTTTTAGATGAAATGCCGATCACGCTTTTGTCATGATCTTTTCTTCATTGGGTGGAAAGTTTCATCAGCCCATCGCAACTTTTGTAAGAGCGGAACCAGTATCAGGTATAACAATGGCCCAATTAGCAATTCAAGACATAATTGAAATTAAAAAACGTGGAGGGTTTGTCCATAGAATTTTTGTGACGGAGCATCAACAAATAGAAAGATGTGGCAGGAATTGGGCATTTAATCAGATATTTTAAATACTGTCTATTATTTTACAAATAATTTGATGAGAACAGACGAATATATGCGTTTTCTGACAATCACCATCGCTTTAAATGTATATGAAATAGATTGGTTAAGAATCGTTATTTAAAGGTAACATTGTCCCATAAAATTACATTACAATGATAGTGTGGCTGAAGCTCTCTAAGAAACGTTTAAAATAATGACTATTTAGTGCACTGATCGTACTAAACTGAACTTACTAGTGTAATGTTATCGGAGGCTGGTTAATTCAAGAGTTTATGGGATTAGGGTTAGGTAATTTTGCTTTGTCAAAATTTTGAGGCTAATTTGATGGAGTAAACTTTCCTCATAGGGACAAAATTTACTGTGACATTATTTAAAATTAAATAGTATGAGTCAATTTATATTTTAGATAAGATATTTGAGTTTTAAATGGATTGCTTAAATAAAGAATACATAATAAAAATAAATGTTAAAATTTATTTGATAAAATTAAATCATCATGCTCTTATATGCAGTCCAAAGTTGAAAAAAAATATGATAGCAATTAAAATTTTTCAGATAACTGTTTTAAAAAATGATTCAATATAAAACAGGTATTTTTTCAAATCAACGCTTTTATTTTAATGAGGTTACTTTATAACTGCATAAATTAATACGATTAATGTTCCGTTTATTGCGGTTTTTATTATATATTGAGGGAAATCAGCCTAACCAATCTGACAACCCTGTTAGATTTACCTTGGCGTTGGTTCGTAATCGGTTCTATAGACCAGCATAGGGATCACGACACTCGATTCGGCTTAATCGTACAATTCGACGTTCGACTCGACCGCAATTCGAAAAAGGATTCATGAAACTCGATCGAGTTGATTTTCGTTAATTGTCGGTTTTTGAAGTCATTTGAACTACTACCAAGACAAATGTAATGTTCTGTGTCAGTTGCGTTTTTTTCTGTGGTTGCGTTATGTGTCCTGTGACTGCATTGATTACGTGTTCGTTTTATTGAGATTCTGTGGAATCTTTTTTTTATGGGTGGCATTGGCATTACTAACTAACTACGCACTACCCAGTGAGTGTACATTGTTGTGATAAAGTAAAAAGCCTAGATTAAATATTGTATTAGTAAGATGTCCTTTAAACCCAATGAAAAACACTGGGAAATCATGCTGAGTTTTTTTGAAAATTATCCGGAACTTGCTACTGGAAAATGTATGTCTGCCGATGACAAAACTACAAAAAAAAATGTGACAAGAACTAAACTATAAATTAAACAGTTTGGGATACGGAAGTAAATCATCAAAAAAGTGGCAAAAGGTAAGTATATACAAAAAAACTAATTTTTGTTTATAACAATGAGCAACTGGTTTAGCCAAAGTATACACCATCCATCCGGATGTTGTATTTTTTGGTTTATCATCATTGATTGCTTGACCACAAGACGCCGTGTAACGTGTCAAATTTATCGTTTCGTTTTGAAAATATTTAAATCATTTTCTTCATTGTTTCATTTTAACTCGTTAATTTTTATTTTAGTTGTCCCACCTCTACACCTATACTTTGCTCAGTTTTGACCTCTTTGCAAACTTTATTGTATATTTCGTATGAAAATTAATATTTTCAGAAAAGTAAGACTCTATTGCGAACGAAGGGCTGTCTTTCTATTATAGTTATTGTATTTGATGCCCGGCTTGGTTATTATTTATTGTTTTTATAAGTTAATCTATCTGTATAGTAGGAATTAAGAATGTCACCTTGATCCACTCAGTTTTAATTCTCGCGCTAATTAATAGATCCGGTGTTCTTTTGGCAGGAATGCGACGCTGCCAGTTTTAATTTTAAAATTTCCGATTTTTCTATATGTTTGTAGGGAGTATTTCGGCCTGATAGATTGCTTTAGCAACTACTAAACTTTTTCCCTTGTATAAGGTTAGTTTATATTACATTATTTGTATGTTTTTCCCTTAATTTCCCGATTATTTTTGTTTCTTTGCGATATCTCGCCATGGCTCCATCTACTGATGGATTCTGTAAATAAATTTTCCTGCGAATATGGCTAAACTGTGGTTTCCTGGTCACTTTTGTTCTGTCTTTTAAAGAAGCTGCCTCGTGTGTTTAATTGTAAGGGTGCTACTGGAATTTCGTGGTAATAGTGCTACCATCCCTAGAAGGGGGGTTCAGTTTTCCGAGTACCAATTGTAGGAGAATCTCAAGTACTTTTGAGAGAGTTATTTGGTTGATAGAGATTTTCTGGACTACTTCGTTTGAAGAAGGATTTTTTTTACATTGCACGTGGAGCTTTCTGATAGATATTTCACCCTTAATCAGGTATGTAACACTTCGTTTAGCTATGTTCATTTTTAAGCCGCTCATTGTTCTTTTCATAATATAGAGTATGAACGATAAAATTAATTTTGTTTTATTCCTGCAAAAAAAAAATAAGATAATTTCTTTTGTGGTTTAAATAATTGGAGACTCGTTTTGATAGTGATTTGCTTAAAACCTTGCATCTCAAAGTCCAATTAGTTACCAAGCTTTTTCTTTATTTTAGTGATATAATTAGGCCTTTAACCGCTAAATAATAAAAAAAGGGTGATATCAACAAATTTGCCGCCGAAGCCATTTGAATAAAGAAACCCCTTGGCCAGGGTAAGTAACGTGTATTTTTTTTATATTTATACAGTGGTTTATTTAAATGTTTGGCATGAAATTTTAGTTTTTTTTTATGCGACATAAAATTTTGTCGAATTTGCGATGTTGCCAGATTTAAAATATTTCTTTGTTTCTTGTGATTATTTTTAATGATCTATTTGATTAGCGAGAATGGTCTAGTTTTTCGCTGTAGACCAGGAACGCTTATTTTTTTTTTTGTTATTAGTATATTTTTATTTTATTTATATATACGCTTACTTTGATCTGTTGAGTAAGTTTAAATATATTAAATATAAGAAAATAAATTATTTATTACAGGGTTAAAAAAAAAACTGCATTTCTTTTTTTTTAATTCATATTTAATGAAAGAAGTTCGTTTATTAAGCAGAAACTTTTGGTTTCTAATTCATATGTATATTTTAGGGTTTTATGGTTTACGAGTATTTTATGGTTCGTTTTATGGTTTAATACTGGTTTATTCCTGATCTATTCCTGGATTATTCTTGAACTGAGATCACCATCCGTCATCGGTTCAGCGCATCCACTCCAGGGACGTCGTCTTTAAAGTAGGACA